TATATTTCCAGAAACTGACAACTGTCATTTCATAGTGTTTTTTTGCTGTCAAAATTAATTGAAATTTCTAAAACTTTAATACTTCGAATATAAGCTGAGACTTTAAATATTGCCTATAACCTAAGTTGGATATAAATGCACACGACGAGCAAATAAAATTTAAAATCAATTCAGTAGTTTAGGAGTACATTCCGGACGTAAGGACATTCCGTGATAACATAAGCTATTTTTTCTAATTTTTTTTCATATTTACTTGGAAGTAGTTTTCCCGTGCTGCGACCCATGGCCCATCATTCGCATTTCCTTTGAAATATTTCCATTCATCGAGAACGAATGTTGCGGTTTGTTTTCCTGAAAAGAAAATTCGATTTTTATTAATGTCGGTCTCGGTAATGGCCTAATTTATACGCAAATTACACATCTATAGTACGTATAAATGTGATTCGTGTCGGCACAACTTATGTTGAAGAAAATTCATTTCACCATAATTTATACGGAGGTATAAAAAGAGTAATTTGGAATAAAATTGAAAATTAAAAGTAGAAGAAATTTAAATAAATTACTGCTGATTTATGCTCATAGTTGACATAAAAGTATACATACTTCAATTATTTAAACATACCCCATATGAATTATTTATAATTTATCTTTACTTCGAATATTAGAAAAATAATTGAACGTACCAAAAATGTTTTTTTCCTGACGTATTAAATTTATTTTATAAATTTTTTTTACAATTTACCTGTTGTCTGTAGGTATCTCCAGGTACAATTAAATAGGTTTGAATATTATGATCCTTTAAATAACCATTTCTTTCACCACCATGACCTTCTTCAACCTCGTAATCACCATCAAGACATTGCAAAGTTTCTCGAGTTATATGAACTCGTCTGCAAGAAAAATATTGTTAAGTAATATTTTACTGAAGTTTTTTGCGGAAAATTTATAATTGTATTTTCACCCTGGTATTCCTCCACTTTCCATATAATTGGCCAATGTGACATCATTTGACCAAACATCAAATTGCCATTTTCTTAAACCCAAAACACCGCAATGAACACGGCCGGTATGAATGCCGACCCTCATGTTGACGTTCACTGCCATCACCTCTCGGACTAATCTGTAATATCAATGTGATACTAATTATCATTACAGGAAAAAAATCATGCATGAACTAGTTTTATTTATTTATTATTATACTACTACTACTACTACTACTAGTTTTATTTATTTCTGACAATTTAGGGACCGATTCTGACGCATAGCAGACCAATGTTATGGCAAGGCCATGTTACGCTCAAACTTGCATACATTACGCTACTAAATCATGTCATGTATTTGCAGTGCATTCTGGCGTTTTACACATAAACTGCAACGTCACTCGTATGTTATTAAAAACCCTGTTATCTAAGATTGTTTTTTTGTCATTTATGGAGTTTCTAGGTTTGTTTTTTTTTTCGGAAAACCTGAGAAAAGCACCTGACTGCACACCAAGCACATGGCTTTTGTCGATATTTAGTATGGAAAGTTATAGTTATAGTTATAGTTACATAGTCTTGCCATAACATTGGTCCTTCAATTTTTTAATATTAAGTTCGTTGAGTTGTTGCTAAAAATGGAGTTGTTGTCGGATAGCGTTGTTGTCCGATAGAGTTGTTGTCGGATAGAGTTGTTGTCGGATAGAGTTGAAGTTAGATCGAGTTGAAATTAGATCGACTCGTCGTTGTTAAATCGAGTCGTCGTTGCTATCAAATCGGGTCGTTGTTAAAATCTAGTCGTCATTGTTCTAATCGAGTCCTTGTTGTTCAATTCGAGTCCTTGTTAAAATCGAGTTGCTGTCAAATCGGGTCGTTGTTAAAAATCGAGTCGTTGTTGTTAAATCAAATCGTCGTTTTTGTTAAATCGAGTCGTTGTTGAAAATCGAGTCGTTATCAAAAATCAAGTCGTTGTTGTTCTAATCGAGTAGTTGTTAAAAATCAAGTAGTTGTTAAAAATCGAGTCGTTGTTAAAAGACGAGTGGTTGTTAGATAGAGTTGTTGTTAGAAAGAGTTTGTAATTAGATAGAGTTGTTGTTAAAATCGAGTTGTTAATAAAAATCCAGTTTGTTAAAAAATCGAGTTGTTTGTAAGAATCGAGTTGTTGTTGCTAAGAAAAATCGAGTCGTCGTTGCTAAAAATCGATTGTTGTTAAAAATCGAGCTGTTGTTAAGATCGAGTTTGTTGTTAAAAATCGAGTTGTTTATTAAAAATCGAGTTGTAAGAATCGGGTTGTTGTCGATAAGAAAATCTAAAAATCGTCGTTGCTAAAATCTGTTGGTAAAAATCGAGTTGTTGTTAGA